GATCAGTTGGGCGACAGAGCTCAAGTGAACTAATACAAGTCCCATACACTACACTACTAAACCAATGCTCAGATAACATAAAGAGCAATAAAATGATACTGTTTCCTTTCAATGTACCTTCCCCTAAGTGAGATTAACATGCCTAATAAAATTTTTTAAGTCCTGGAGGTGAAAACAAAGTTTAAACCTTTTCCGAGTCCAGAGACGGAGTTAGCAAACTTAAAATATTGTAACAACTATTTACTCCACCACTAAAACAAGATTATGCTGAACTTAATAATGCAAAATGATAAGGAAAAGATGGAGCTGAGCTTCGCCTTAGAAAATGAAAGGGGCAGTTAATGAAACCAACACAAAATTAGATTCGGTAAATTGAACGATTATTAGGTGAAACTTAATGAGAGCAACACACCAAAATTAATGCAACTAAATTAGATGAATGAAAACCATGTCAGCTTAATGATGTAAACACCAAACAGTACCTGAGATTTTGGTGACTGAAAGCTAACTTGCAAAAAAAATTTCTTAATTTAAAAAAATAAAATCAGAAAATGAAATTATACATGTAAACTCACAATGGCGTGCAGCTGCCGCCCCAGTTGAAGGAGGGGGAGGAGGGGGGCCCCTCTTTCGTACGCAGGGGTCCTGATCGGGGTGACCCCCCGTTCTTTTAGCCACCTGCTTCTTCTTAGGTTGCGGGGGTTGGGGGGTGGGGGGAACCCCTTTTTCAGGGCGTGGGGGAAGAGAGGCTAGAATGACGTCTTTAGCACGAGGGGGGAGGGAGGGGGGAGGGAGAGGCTGGCGTGCCACTGCCGCGGGGGAAAAGCCACGGGGGATAGGGGCGGGGGGTCGGGGGTTGAAAGCAAGTTGATTCCTCATGTGGGGGAAAAAGCCACGGGGCCTAGGGACGGGGGGTCGGGGGTTGAAAGGAAGTTGATTCCTCATGCGGGGGAAAAAGCCACGGGGCATAGGGGCGGGGGGTCGGGGGTTGAAGGGGAGCTGATTCCCAAAAGGGGGAAAAGGGCCACGGGGCATAGGGGCAGAGTGGTGTGGGCCAGCTTGGTGGAGTGGATGTATTGGCACATCCATAAGAGGAATAGGCGGGGTGGGTACGGGGGGGCGCGGTCCCAACCGCAGAAGAGCAGACTGAAACAATCGAATAGTAAGTGAATAAAATGCATTTTATTCTAGATCAAACAGTAGGGTTAAAGGTGATTGACACTTACAATGCGAGGCATTTTCTGTGGGGGAGCGGCCTCGCTGTCCTCGGGTGCCTCTGCTGCGGCCTCGCTGTCCTCGGCTGCGGCCTCGCTGTCCTCGGCTGCGGCCTCGCTGTCCTCGGGTGCCTCGGCTGCGGCCTCGCTGTCCTTGGCTGCTTCGACTGCGGCGGGTACAGCGGTCGCTCCTGAGGCGACCGCAGAGGCGAGCGCAGGAGTGCCAGCAGTGGTGGAGGGCGCAGCCATCTCGGAAGGCCCTAATCTCGCTTTGACGACCTGAAACAAAAAAAAAACACAAAAAAAAATCAAATGAAGGTTAAATAAATTTGTCAAAACGAACAATAACTTGAACAAAACGAACTTACGGAGAAGGGAGCGCGATTCGTCACGTAAAGGACCTGGACAGGCGAGGAGGAGTTCTCACTATCGCTGCAGTCCGTCGCACTGCAGTCCGTCGCACTGCAGCTAGTAGAGCTTTCCTCACTCGAAGGTGAAGAGCTCTTCAAAGTAGAGTTAAAGAGTTCCTAAGAGGAAGACAAAAAATAAAGTTATGTTGCATTTATAGTTCCAAACAAACCGGAAACAAAAATAAAACTTACTCGACACATGGCATCACCAGCCTCAGCCACTTCAGACGCTGTCCAAGAAACAGTGCGCTCAGGAGTAGGAGGGAGAGGAGACGGAGGAGGAAGTTCCCCGAGGGGAGATGCCCCTGCACTGCGAGGAGAGACTCCTCCGATGGTTGATTGCAGTTGGAGATCGGGGGAGTCAGACGCTGAGGAAGACTCATCGTCCTTACATGGAACCTGGAAACATCACCAAAATTAATGGAATGACCAACTATACTTAAAATGGCTAACCTTCCTCACTTATCTTTTCGCTTATTTTATTTTTAAAAAACTTAAGACATGAAAAAAATAAAACAGCCGCGATAAGTGAGCAAGGTTTAAGCGAGATATTCGAACTGTATTACTTTGTTTTGTTTTCATGAGAGAAAAAACAGAACGAAATTACAGTGCGAATACCTCTAGAGCTGCAGCGAACAACGAGAGCGCAACGAGACGTATCATCTGCGCGCCCCGACTTACGCAAAATTAACGCCCAGTGGGTCGGCATCCCGTCGTGTCGGCATCGCGCGACAGGCCAGCGCGCCGTGGAGGTAGGCAGCCCAACTGGCACCTGTGTCCGGCGGGGCCGGGAAGGGAGTGCGAGAGAAACAACTCGCAAGCGAAAGGGAAAAGCACTAAGCATTTGTGCAGCAAAGAGACACACACGCGAACGACAGATGAAAGAAGAGGATGTAAACAAAAGCAACAAGTGCTGCTGCAGGGCCATGGCACGGCCAAGCAAGGCAGGACTCGACATGCTCACACGCACACACACACACACGCATGCACTCACGCACGCAAGGCACAGGCCACAAAGCCAAAAAACGTGATAAAATCGGAACATACTCACTGTGTATCGATTCACTAAGTCGCGCTTAACTTAGCCATCGATACATTCAGTCCCAAATGGTAATTCTGAAACGTAAAGGGATGAATTGGATGACGCAACAAGGACGCCAGCGAGGTTAGGTCACCACGTCGGCCCGGCATCGACACGCAGCGCTCATCGCACATCGAAATACGGATTTCGGTGTGAAAATCACAGCGCAGACTTTAATAAAAGGCTCCAATTCAAGTGAACAGGAGAACAAAAGGACTGGGCGTGTGATGGCGGCGCCGCGTGGTGGCCTGGCCTAGGCTGTGCCACTCATAAAGAATGTCGCGAAGAAAAACTACTCACGTCCTCCATTCCCTCTTGGAGTTCTCTTAACATCTCCTCTTCCGTCAGTTCAGGACCCTCGAAGATGGCCCCCGAAACATCCAATAAAATAGAGTCGTCTGATTCCGACATTTTACACAGCACGTCAACGACTTAGCAACACACTCGACGTGGACGAGACGGCAAATGAAGGTTCTGGAAGGTTCCGGCGGCGCCCGGCAGAGAAGGGGTGGGGGATGCACAGGGCGGAGAACGGAAGGGATGCGCGCCACTTCCTCGCGCACAAAAGTTTGAATGCGATTTAATGTTTTTGACTTAGAACGAGTTGTGCTGCGGTACAAGGGGGTTCCCCCGGCACGGCAAGGTCACCTTCATCGTGGAGGGAGCCACACTCGACCGCCGGCAGCATGATGACGCACTTGTTGGCGGCAAATCTCGTCCCCGAACGGCGACGTAGTTCTGTCGTCGACCGCTAGATGACGCGCTGAGCGCCGCAAGCGCGGCCCGGCCCGGCGCGGTTCCCCCCACTCCCGGCGGCGGCGCGAACATTCAAACGCGGCGCGGAACGGTGCGGCCGCGTACAGCGCGTTCCCGGACGGTCCCCGCTACGGCGCGGCGGACAAGACGAGACCTGCTTAGGTTGACTTAGGTTAGGCCCGCCCAAGATGGCGGCTTAGGTTGGGTTAGGCCCGCCCAAGATGGCGGCTAGGTTGGGTTAGGCCCGCCCAAGAGGGTGGCTCAGGGGGAGGGGAGGGGGATGTTACAATGGGGAATCAAAATGGCGGCTGTTACAATGGGGCATCTTTACTACTCTTGTTTTAGACGTGTTCAAAGTACAAGTACACATCGATTGGTCCCATGATCAAAGACCGATGTCTTTTGGGTCGCTCAAACAAAGACCGATCTCCATGTAGGCTGTTTCTGCATTCGCCGCTTCTTTATCTTGTGGTTCTCGGAACAGGCATCCAACTCAAACAACACTTTCCAGGTGACGTTTCAAACATATAAGAGAATGATTATCTAAAACAAATTTGTGTAGAATCAAAACGTAGAGATTGTTCTGGAACTTCAAAATGAACGCCTTGAGCGGTTAGGAAGGAGATCGATCTTTGTTCGAGTGACCCAAAGGACAGCGGTCTTTGTTCAAAGGACCCATCGACATTAGATATTGTTGCGCATCCACAGACGGGAGCTAGTTTAGTCACACAAATAGCCTTCTCCACGGGGCCTGAGGGAGCACGAGGGCCTGTGCGGGTGAACATTCGAGGTGGGCAGGGAGCTTTTATCACGGTCGTAAGAATCTCTACCTTAGGCTGGGACAGAGACGCCCGTTGACTATCGTCTTCGATGCCCCTTTTCTCTCTGTGCGTTGAAGGTGCAAGGGACTAGTTAAGAATATTTCACAGGATAATTCCGGGACCGGGGGTCCGAAAAGGGATTGCCGGTGGTTTGTGGTATGCTCCAGTCGACATATTACAACTTTTTCTGTACAATTTTCGAACAATTTTTTAACAGAAATGATAAGATGATTCAAAAATAGCAAGAATGAAAGTAAATTTCACCCTAATATTCGAATTTGACCTGTGGACTCTGGTGAGCTGTCCGGTGGGATTTGCCTTCCGGCACGGTAAGAATTCGAATTTTGAGAGGCCAATTTTTTTGTGCTAGTTTCGAATCATCAATGCAATTCTATTAAAAGATCGTTCGAAAATTGTACATAAAAGGTCTTCATATTTCGACTGAAATTCACCACACGCCAGCCGTTGGCAATCCCTTGCCGGCCCCGGTCCCGGGCCGGGCCTACCTTAGGTCTACCTCCCTGGCCTCTGGTCCCGGGTGGCGAGACAGTTAACCACAGGTGAGGCCTTCACCGCTTCAACACGTACTGACACGTAGGATGTTAAAATATGTTTTCGAATCCAATTGAATGCCCAGGAACTCGCATGCATCGATAAATCGACGTGTGTAACTTAATTTTCGTAAATACGTTGTATTGCCCCTGGAAGGGAGGCATTTTTTCTTATGTGGCTTAGGTATACGGCAACAACCAGACCAAACTTACGTTAGACACTTTACGAACTGGCCATGTGCTAAAAATGAGGTCACTAGCCCGTCAACAAACGTCAATTCGGGCATATTTTCAGTTATGCACCCAAAAGATAGGCAGACGCCTGTACCGCCGCTCTGCAGGGGGGACCACCTGGGCTCCACCTCTGAAAATGATCCTTCGGGTTAGTACAACAACTGTACCAAGTACTCGGTATCACATTTTGCAAGGTAGTACCCACTTACCTACGGACTACTTTGTGCCGAGTGGAAATTCCTGCTTGAAAATTACGTTTATAGTGGCAAACGAAAAAATGCTCAACTTTGGAGGTGCACAGCGCCTAGACCGTTTGAGCTACAGACCTGGGCGTGTGCTCATTGGATTCAGCGGACCATTTTCTACAAGATGCAAGTTTCGGAAAGTCAAAAAAAAATTTTTTTCCAAGTTTCCCCAAAAACTATTTAAATTATTGTAATTTTTCAACTTTTTCGCAAATATCTCAAAAACTATTGGTCGTAGAGTAAATCTGAGGGCATATTCTGGTTCCTTGTTCAATTCTACATAAGAATGCCAAATTTTAAGTTATTCGGACGAAAACTGTGCCTGTAGGACAAAATACCCAAAATGCCTGCAAAATGGGCAAAAAAACACAAAATGCACCATATCTCCGAAACGAAATTTTTTTCGGCCAAACCAAAAGTGGCCGATTTTTACTTTATATGAAGAGAACTTACCCACAAAAAATCAGAAGGATCGGACGACATCAATGTAAGGGGTGGCTTTTATTAAATAAATTTGCTCTCTCTAAAATACTAATCCGAAACGTTTCCAGCATCTCGGGGGAGGTTTGAAGCAAAACACAGGTGGTTGTTGTTTGTTGTCTTGTACAGTAGTCTGGCTGGAGAAGCCTCCTACCTTCCTGAGAGGCTGCGCCTAACTGTTGCGTCGCGTCGCTGCAACGCAAGTGCCCTCGGTCGCTGCTGTACCTGTCTCTCTCGCACCTAAACGAAATGCCGTGTGGGTGCGAGAGAGACAGAGTGAAAACAACACTTTTCGGATCCTCCATGCAGAGGAGGGGCGAGGATGGGGGGAACGTGGGTGAATGGTCAGGGGTGCCATCAATTGAATCTGGTTGCGATACGTCGAAAATATTGACTATTCGATTCTGGACGTGTATTTACGCATGTGATACCTTAAAAAATTATAATTATGATAACTACCGAATGTTGTACGTAGAAGGACCAAAACATACACAGTTCTGTCTCTAGTTTGGCATCCTCTCTCCCCCACTCTCCCTCTCCTCCCCCTGCCTCCCCCTCCCCCCCCCCCCCCCCCCCCCCCCGGGGCCAGCCCCGGCCCCAGGCACCCGTCCACGCGGCTGTCAGTTGATCGTGCAGTGTCGGTGGACAATTTGACCTGTTTTGGCAAAGCAATCGTAGCAGTCGTTCGCATTGGTTAAGATGGTGCGTGGTTCCAACAAGTCTTCGTCCCCAGGATCGTCGGAATCGACATCTGAGAACAGCAACTTTGCTCTGGTCAAATGGCTTAGTGGGAAAGAAAAGGGCAAGTTCACCCACAACGTCCAGGTATCCTGGATTTTACATTTCGTCCCTGAGGAAGACTTTCGTAATGAGTCGTACCTCGTGGAGTGGAGAGTGCCACCAAAGCCCAAGACTGGATGGCCTGTCTGGGACGCCCAAGTGCTGGAACTAAGCAGTGAGTATATTGTCTATGCTAGAGTGACTTCCCCGATGCTGATGCATTGCTTCAGATTTGTCAGAAATTCTAGTTTACAATGTAATGGGAGTGCCACGAGTGTCTATCCCTATCCTCATGCTCTTGCTCCTGCTCCTTAGTCAGTTGCTCCTAAAACTATAAACTAGTTTCTAATTGTAGAGTCTGGGTTTGTGATATTCCCTGTTTACCCTGTTTTAGGTGACCTGGACCTTGACATATCATCATCCGTTGGTATTAGATTGGTCGTGTAAATTTTATTTAAGCGTGTCACAAAATTTCAATAGACAAAAAGACTGTTCGTATTGTACTTTATGGACTCCCATGTTATCTGGAAACAAACCTCATAATTCTAAACAACTTTTGACGTCTCAGAACTGCTTTGTATGAACTTGACTGTAATTTACGAGTCGATATTTCCTGATTTTTGAAGTATTGCAACACAAAATGTCGTTTATCTCAGATCCTTTTCCATTGCCAGTCCTAATATTTTGAGGCATCCTAGAGCACCCTTAGACCTTCCTTAGAAAAAATTTGGTTGAAATCTGGAGACGCAGTTTTTGGGAAATCCAAAACGCGTAACTTTTTTTTTGGTTTTTCAGCTTTTGTACCCAAATGGTGACACGTATGACCCAAGATGGGTTTTCATTCTTTATTATGGACCACCACACAATTTAAAACCCCCCAAAAAAATAATAAAAAAAAAATTTTCTATTTTTTTTTTAATGTGTGGTTTTGAAATTTTCTTTTGGCCATATCTCCTATACAAATTGAAATTTTGAAAAACTGTTTTATGGTTTTGTTATTAGTGATGGTTACGTCAAAAAAAGTCACCAGAACCCAAATCCGAGGTGTGAAATTTGGGGTCGCGGATGAACTGGCGTGGAATGCCCCTTTGGTAACCTAGGGTGCCCAAAAAAGGCTTGTCCTTGACTAATCACGCCCCTTTCCAGATTTTTGCGGTGCGCCCCACTCTTCCAAGCCAGCGTGCAAGCAGCGTTGGATGAGCTTGACCAGGTTGGAAACCCTGGTCAACAGGGCAACCCTGGTCAACAGGGCAACCCTGGTCAACAGGGCAACCCTGGTCAGCAGGGTGACCAAGGCGAACAAGGCGAAGACCAGAATGACCAAGGCGAAGACGCTCCTGAGGCTCCTGTTGGGAAAAAAAGCGAGGTGGCGTCTGGCCGGGGCGCAAGCTCTTGGGGAAGATACCGGCCGAGGACAAGTTCGAGACCTTTGCCAATTGCTTCTGGCCGTTGCACTAAGGGGTCTGCGTCGGTACTAGCATATCACCACCCAAGCCGGGCTGTACGATTCCACAGCGCCGGACTATGTGTGATCCCAAGAGACGTGCAAATGTACAGCACGGACTCCGTTCTGGCCAGCTTCGTCGCCCTCAATGGAGTCGTCGGGAGAGGCCCGTGCAAAATCCGTTTCCCGGGCTCCGACGAGGTTGTGGTATGTATACTGTAGTGAAGTCACATTCCACGGTTTGAACGCCCGCGCGTCAGCCGCGCGGCGCGAGCACCCGTAGCAGACGACGTCACCGCCGCCCTG